CTGGATACTATTATGAGGAGTGCTGGATGGTCAAATTATGATACCTTCCAGAAATTTTACAACTTGCCTGCTGTCGGCCAAAATAACTTTGGAAATGAGCTTTTGAGATCTTGTACCCCTTAAGGTCTTGTCATGTGCGCATTGTACAGCAATACAAATTGCTTCAGTTTTGTCAACTGACTGTTATTTCTTTTTCTTATGTGTGGCTCCTAGTCACATGGGCTTTAAAGTCTCACGTGACTCCGAAACGACCAATGACCAATGATGAAGTAGAATTCAACAATTAAACGAGACTTACCTGTAAGGTGAAGTTTGATTGGAATTCTACGAGTCATTGGTCGGGAGTGTAGGAGTTACGTGCCCTCCCTATTATACACCATTCTACTTACTGTAATACCCACCCTTTATTCATTTTGTGTGACTACTCGCCAATTTGAAAATTGATCTCCCAGGTTCGCGCGCTCTCTCACGCAACTCCTACACTCCCGACCAATGACTCGTAGAATTCCAATCAAACTTCACCTTACAGGTAAGTCTCGTTTAATTGTTGAATTGCACACGCTATTCAGATCGCGCGAATTTTTCAACTATTTTACGAATCATTTGGCAGGCAGTCACAGTCACAATCAGTGGTAAATTGATAGAGGAACAAAGCATTTTAGATTTTTCAAGAAACCTTTTCAAGAAACCTTAGTTTAGAATATGATTGGTGTAAAGCGCTTCTCGAATTTAGGAAACTACGTTATATGTACGCTACAACAGTCCAACATCCTTTCCTATTACGGTTTCCTCAAGTTACAGTAGGTTGGACATTCACTTCATTTGTGAAGCTCAAGTTTGTCTTTAGCAGTCAGTTTCTGAATCAGCGCTCAGCCTCCTGTTGCCATGTTGTACTCTTAGAAGAACGCTCGAGGCCATTTCCGGATCATCTTCAGCATTCGATGTTTTTGTAATCTTAGGAATCCTGACGGAGTAACGTTCACAACAGTAGCAAGACACAGCACCTAGGAACAACACACATGTGACCTTGAATTGTATGTGAGGATCGAGACGTCAGTACATGGGATAGCAATACCTGCATGGGTGCCAATGTCATTTGTTTGGTGTGGAATAATATGAACAAGACGAATCTGTTGGTAGGGCTGGTGGAATAAGGATTACAACAGAATCTCGACCGTCTTACGACCACCCCGTTAAAACGCCCACTTGCGACGTTCATTTATGACCACATTTCGCGAACCGAGCGAAAGCTCACTCAGTTTTTAACCTAAAAACGTTTTTCGATTTTTAGAACAGAGGTGAGTTCTGGCCGTACGCCGCGGCATTCATATGTTTCGTTATGGAGGAATGACTCCACAGAAAATCCTTCCCGTAGGCCAGCTTAACTTCCTGAAGATCTATAGCTGTTATGATCGAACCAGTTTAGTTAGAGATCATGCAGTGGAGAGTTTTTTCGAAGGAAACCAGCCTCGTTGAATAAGTGAAAATCTTGTTTTAAGGAACCATGTCAATTAAATTTTGTGTCTCCTGACCTTTACCTCGTGCACAGGGAATTTCCCCCACCCAGGCCCCGCCCCTCCTCCCCCACCCCACCCCTAAAAGACACAGGTGGCTCAGGGGACGAGAATGCATTCAAGTATTAACTACACTATATTAAAAAGGAATATAAAAAAGCAAAACTAACGATCAGTAAATTGACTCATTTCAACTACTTACAAACTAACACTAGGCCAAGTATAAAAATACCAACAACTTGCCAGACCAGCAGACCCCAGAGAGGTTGATCAGGTACTGTGGAGTCTTCAGATGCTTTGCGGAATGCAGAGTACGGGTCCAGAGACTCCTCAAAGTTCACACCATCATTTTCCAATTTTATCGCGTGGAAGGTAATGTCGTATTTCCAAGCCATTTTGATAGCTTTCGGGCAGAAATTAGAGACAACTCTTCCGACTTCTAATATACAGTCACAGATAACGAGAGAATCATAAGCAGAAACGCCCTGGCATAGCACTTGAGGTAAATCTATGAGAACTGCTGTGATTTAATTCATTTTTTTTCCATTTGAGTAACAGAGGCGGTTTTTTTTTGGCCGGTTCTCTAGGCATGGTATTCAGATGGTTCTTTGCTGAGTACTCCCCACAGAAAGCCACTTTAAGAAGTGTCTCTCGTAACCACAACAAAATCTCGTTTTCCAATAAGAAACCATGGAAAATTGCCATTTACAATTTCGTATTGCCTTGAAATTGATTCAGTTGAATCATCTTCAGTAAAATGAGTTCTATCAAATAACCCCCCGAGGACTCTCAGAGGTAGTTTTCATTCTAAATGTAAATTATGACTGGGTTAAATTATAGTTTATTCTTTATCGGCAACTAGACCAAATTCAGATTTTTTCCCTTGAACATTCTCTGTCTTAACTTGATGACTCTTAGGAATTGCATTTCAGTATTATAACGTGCTATCACGTGACTGACGTATGCTAAAAGGTTTCCGAAAGCTGCCAAGTTGTCAATAATAGAATCGTCACTTCTTACATTATCCGTTTGAAAACAGATAACGAAGAAAGCAATACTGGAACGGATGCAATATTTCAGAAGTCAAATACCTTCGCATGCTCGAGTTTCGAACCACGCTTTGAAGTATTAGTTACAGAATTTTCTAAACATCTTACCTAATAAGAATTACGATTGCGCTGAAAATCTGGTCTTTTTTGTCCTCCAACCCTGCACAACCAATTCTTTTATGTCCTTATTTAAAGAAAAACGTTTGTCATTTGGATTGGCAGGTGTTTTAAGCGTGCACATCGCTAACTTATACATCAACGAAAAAATTAGCATTTTTAGGGTACATACAAGTCGATTAATTATCAGTCACCAAGGTACCCATTCTTATCTTGAAACAACAGTCGTGCCGTTCACGTCGATAAAGGGCGTTTTTTTTTCTTCTTAGGACTAAATTTTACCTCATTGGGTTTAGAGAGTGGGAAAGATGTAGGATTTGAAGATATGACTCATTTTCTCCCTTTGAGATAGAACATTTTTCCTGTTTTGCCTATTTTTGTAGCTATTCTTTCCGAGCTAAATCCACCAAACATTAAAAGTCATTAAAAAATATTTTCAAATACACAGGTGCAAAAAAGTGTTACTTTTAGCATTAAAACAAAGCAACACAAGTATCTGAATAAGGTAACCAACGTTTGAAAAAAAGGAGCGCGCTTTTTTTCTACAATTATGCATGGAAAGCCCCTGGTTCATAAATGATGGCTCCAAAAGCCACGTTGGGCGGGGAGGGATACATAGACTTCCCTTTCGAGGATCGTCAAGGGCAAGGTGACCTCACCATGTTCAGTCAAGCAACGAAGCTACAAGCCTTTTTATCAACTAACCGCCTTACTGTAGGGAAAACTGACGTTTTAAGCGTGAGCACTGAAAAATTTCGCGGGTTTCGTTTACTAACCGACGCAGTATAGTACTTTCTCTCGAGACTCACTTTGTTCTATTGGCAAAAGCTCCATTTTGCATACATGGCTTATTGACCAACGGCTGGACATTGGCCAAGCTCTTTTTTGATGTTTATGGGAGCTAGTCGAGGTTCATTAACACGCCACAAACAAAAACGGTAATTTCCAGCTATTATGAACTCACGCCTGGTCAACACAAGATTTGTTATATGGCATACAGGACGCGATTTTCTTGAGGAATACAGAGGGCAGTCCAGCGGGCAAGCTTGCTCATTTAGCAGTGTAGGATTTGGTACCATATCAGAAGCCTGTTTATTACAATCAATAAAACACAGCAAGTGAACTGACTCCAAAACATTCGCACTTAGTATCTGCTTTGGTACGATGAGAGTTAATAATGGCATAATCTTGCAGTATGAAGGCTGGCTTTCATTGGGGCACATCCATAAAAAAAATGTGCACGAGATGTTAAACGTTGATAGAAAAACTTATTAACAAAAGGCGGCACTTGATAGCGCCTCACTGCATCCGTGGTTGGTGCTTATGTTCAAGTGCTACTAAAACCCAGCCTCACAAGGATAGATTTGAATTATGGGATTTGTTGTTCTTGGACTGGAATCTTAGCTTATAAATGAGTAGTGTCAGGGATAGGGTGGAGAGGGTTCTGGAGATTAAGCAAATGAACAGATTTTCATCTTGCTAATTGATAATTCATCAAGTTTAGACAAAGCAAATCATGATCACCACCTGGTTGGATATCTGATCCTCATTAGCATAGAATTTTTTCATTTTCTCTCTATGCTTTCTCCTTACTTTTAGTTTCAATTGAGAAGATAGTGTTTGACCACATATCCAAACAACCTGAAGTTTGCCACACATACTCCACTGCGCCTTGCACTGTTAACCCTCTTCTCAGTGGAAATGTGGTCAAACACAGTCTTTTGAGTTTGATGTATTACATGAAATTTGACCAGCAATTGAACACTTATTGAAGCTTGGAACAAACTTGTCTGTTTTCCATTTTTTCCAGAATTATCATTATTCTTTGTACTTTTCTTTTTCAGACCTCTTATTGGAGGAGTTTTATGCTACTGACTGTATTTGCTTTCTCTCAATTTTAAAAAAGTAGTTTTTAGACTTAAATTACCCAAACTAAGTTTGGAACAACAACCAAAACAAAAGTATGCAGGTGTTCAGTTAAAACTTTAGAATATCCACATTTTTTGAGCACATGATTTCACAGAGCAAGTGTTGTAATTAGAATCAAATATTTGGAATCACTATATCAGCCCGATATTTGTAACATAAAGGAAGGAAGCCTGTTTGCTCATTTGCAATGTCTCAAAAAAAAATTCTTTGGTATTGTTCACTGGCTATTGTTAGAGTTCATTTGATGAAGTGATTCATGAAGAAAAATGTTAAAATGCGTCAAACAGGTTGGACAGTGAAGACTACATATAAATAACAGCTTAATATATTTTATTGCAAGTTGGTTCACTACTTCAGAGGGATGAAGCGAGATGAGTGAGTAGCACCAATACCAGGTCGGCCATGCTTGACAGGCTTGTATGTGATGGAGAACTCTCCAAGATAATGTCCAACCATCTCTGGCTGTCAATACAAAGAGAAAAAAATACATTATATTGAAATCACTGAAATAAATTACAAGTTTTAAGTTATTTAAAGCTAAAGTATTTAAATTCCCCAAATAAAGTGATTTTAAAATCCTGTTACTTTCCCAATGTTTGACCAGAACCATAAGTATTGATACTCCTTAATTAGGGGACAAGTTAATATAATTAAGTAAGGGGCTAGTAAGAGTTACATTAAATTTGCCCCAATATACAGTTGACTCCAGATAACTCACACCTTCAAGGGAAATTTACAAAGGTTCAAGTTATGGGGAGTTTGAGTTATCAGGAGTTGAGAACAAATGGCTGAAAATAAGGGAAAAGACAGTGTTTACCGCATTTATATTCATACAGTGTAAATTTAAATCAAATTTAATATAGATAAGTCAAGTCAACGGACATGAGGGAGTTATTGACATTTCAAAGGAGTTAAACAACAGAGCTTTATGACGATACAATGCACTATCGTTAAATTTTCCCCAAAGCAGCAAAACTTCCCTGACTGCATGTAAGAAAATGCAAACAACAATAGCAAAAAGACAAAGAATACACAACTGCTTCAAAATAAATTATTTCACTGTTTTGGACCACAGTATTGTTTGCTTTGACTTGTCATATTGATTGACAAACATGGTGCAAGTTATTGCGGGTAAATTAAATAGAAAATGATCTGAAGGGAAATTAAAATTGCTTCGAGTTAGTGGGAGGTTCCAGTTATCAAGGGTTCGAGTTACCTACAGTAAAATTATAGTTTAAATGTATGAAGGAAATCTAAGGGAAATCAATTTTGGTTTGAGTTAGTGAGGGTTCCAGTTATCCAGTGTCAACTGTACTCTCCTAAATGGTCAGCGACTCCCTTATATCTGTTTGTAGATCAAGTCCTTTACTAACAAAAGACAACTGAATGTGGGAAGTTTAAATTTTTCTTCTTAAGCACAATCAAATTTTATTTCTTTTCTTGGCGTCACAAAAAACAGGTGAAATGGAGATCTCTAGATAATGTAAATATGTCAATTTTAACTTAGTTTGGCGTGAAAAAAAAAAAAACGTTATCAGCTGAAAATAATTCTATCAACCTAATCTAGAGATCTTTACTTTTCTTGTTATTGCACTGGATTCCACTTTGCACGAACAAGGCTCCCTGAAACACTATAGTCTGCAAATGATGGCCCCCAAACTTTTTTTGCACACAAGTTGATCCAACAGGAAACCATCAGAAAATGGTGAAGTCACTCGTATGCTATTATTCTCCTTTTTGTTTATCTACAATATTACTTTGTTTCTCTACTTAAGGACCACAGAGTAAACCACTGGGATACCAGTAATTGTGTTTAACCTATACCCTTGATAATGCGAGTAGCTTTCATTCGTTTCTGCCGACACTGTTTTGTTATTGCAAACATACGTACTAGAACAAATCAATGAGTAGTTCTTGATACCTACCTTGATTTCCACTTGGTTGAAAGTTTTGCCGTTGTAAACACCAACCATACTCCCGATCATCTCTGGAAGAACGATCATGTTCCTCAGATGTGTTTTTACAACGTCGGGTTTCTCCATCGGGGCAGCTTCCTTCTTCGCTTTTCTCAGTCTTCTCATAAGGTTCACCGGCTTTCTTTTGAGTCCACGAGAAAATCTTCGCCTGGCACGGCAGTGAACCAACTCCATAAGTTGATCATGAGATAAATCAAGAAGCTGGTCGAGGTCGACACCTCGATAGGTGAACTTACGAAAAGTCCTCTTCTTCTTCGGCTGTTCTTGTTCAGACTACGAGAAACAAGTACGTCATGTTTGTAATTGACTTGTTCTGTGATACCAATTCAGCTATTCCATATAACTTACGTTAAAAAGCAACGAAGTTTTCCGTAAATAATTGGAAATATACAAAACCAAAGGACGATGGAAGTGGATAACAATAACAATACTTACCATGACTGCCTTCTTGCTCGAGCAAAGGAGGAAAAGGACGTGAAGAAATTGTTCCCAGGACTTCACGGAAACATTTTTTTCTAGCCTGCAGTATTTTCGTACAGCAACTTGTTCAATAACGCAATTTTATACTTCATATACGACAACTATTACGTACCCCTATCGGAAGTGCCCTTCGAGAGACGTGTGAAGTCAAATGTTCGCCAGTTCCTTACGGCGACATCAAGTTGTGAGACGAGGTTTTGCGCGGCCAAGCACAAGATCTATGATCTCTGGTGACGTTGGAAGAAAATCGTCTTGTCACTTTTCTCTCTCCGTTGCATGCTGGACTTTATAGTACAGTCGAACCTTAACCTCCCGTAAGCACGTAAGCGACCATCCAAAATATCAAGCCTGGGTGTCCTAGGTGGTCGCTTACGGGAGGTGGTCGCTTTAATACGAGAGCTTAGAGCCCAACACTGTACTTCGATTTTTATACTGTAGTTCCATTACACTGTTGACAGTTCTCGAGGGAACAGTGAATCAGGAATTCAGTTCTAGTTTTCTGTAATTATAGGACAGTTACGGTCGCCTGTCTATTTTAAGACTGATAAAGTACAGTGTATGTGCATTTTTTTTCATTTTTTAAGTGTTTTATTCATGTAAAACAAAGACAATTTCGGGAAAAAATCCGTTACTTCCAACTGAGAAATTTCCGTCCCTTGTACTACCTAGGAATGCAATGATTTTACAAAACCTTATCCGATTTCCGCTCTATTATCTGTCTAATGGTAGCTTACGGGAGGTTAAAAACAAAAGAAAATTTCAAACTTTAAGCTTTACAAGTGGACCAAGTGTCGCGGTCGCTTACGAGAGGTGGTCACTTACAAGAGGTTCCAAATATAGTGATTTGACTTCAAAACTTTTGGTATTTTGGAAAACTGGTCGCTGAGGAGAGGTGGTCGCAACCGGAGGTTCGGCTGCACTTTCGCAGGACATGCAGCATAGCTGGTCACAACTTTTTTAAGTGGGCGAAGACTGGAGCGTTGTAATATGTCAACAGGTAATTTCGTAGTTGCAATTTCCTCTATTTTAAACCGAGACAATAGGGGCAGGTCATTATGTTGCAAATCAAATCATTTCCATTGATTTAGCATCAGAACTCGTTTTAGGGATAAAAGGCGTTAACCCGGAGAGGGGTTTTTCGCCTCCCTATCCCTTTGCCGTTTACGCCTGGTTACTTGGAAATAGCCAACGAAATCTTCGGTTTTAATTGTATACAGTTGGTGTGATACCTAGGCCTCACCAGCTCAACTAACTCAACTACGATTCTTGTTAAGGTTTCAAAGGTAAAGTAATGTTACGAGCTGTAATAAACGCGCGATTTCACACTGATTTGCTGGTGAATTTTCGATGCTATTGTAAACGATTATTAAAAAAAAGAACACTCAAAAGACAGTTGAGATGCTACAAAATGTCCAAAACTTAGCAAATTTGAGTGTAGTCTACGTCTACGTGTAGAAAATGGAAAACAGCGAGTCAAATCTGAAATTTGTACGCAGTTAATGTACACGTAAAAGGCAACAATCCAAGAACTGCATCTTCCACGCGCGAGTAAGTCTGCTACTCAATTAACTGACACCAAGTTCACAGAACACAAGTCTTCACACGAAAGAATGTCATAAAATATTTTACTGAGCAGTTGTAAAGATGGTACACCATACTAATGATACAGTCAATTTAAAAAGCCGCTTCCTAAACATCTCCTATTCGGTGAAAAAAAATTACGTTTGTAAATTAACATAATGGTTCTTTACACTAACGTTATCCCCGCCAGAGCACACTTAAAATTGTCAAGGCTCTCAGATAACCAGCACAGGGAGACACTTCTATTCTAGTGAAAAACATTGTTGCAGCTGTTCAAAATATTATAATCACTTAATAAGCGGCAATCATAACGACAAGCATTCCGGATTCGAAAAGTTTCGGTCAGAAGCTAGGGCTGTCAGCAGTGTGAATGTTTGGGAAAAAGCGATAGTTTTTACAGTGTTGAGTATCAACTCAGCAAAGCCGGCGTATAAAAGCCTTCCTTGGCGCCTGGAATTGCTACTAAAACAAAAGAATAACAAATTCAAGGAGGTTAAAAGACGCTATATGCAGAATATTGTGTCTAAAATCTCCTGAAAAGCTAGGAAGGATAAACAGTTTTGAAACTTTAACGCGGAACAGATGCATTTTTTGGATAAAACGTCGCCAAAGTTCTCTAGCGTCCGTATGGATGGAATCCACGAGAAACATTGGGGGTCCCTCGTCCAAAATTCTCTCCACCTCCATAGGCACTTGGTCCATAGCCTGTTTGGTCGGCATTAGCCCCATAGCTACTGTAGCCGCTAGCATCTGAAGAGAAAGATGTTCTTGCAGGACCATAACTGGACTCTTGTTGCTGATAGTTACCCAGGCCTGTGAAAAAAAACAACAAACAGCATCAATTAATGAAAACACATGAACTCCAACACTGGTATCATATTGTCACAACTGCATTATTCATATGTACGGTCAAGGATGCTCCCTTAAGGTTTCCATAACCTCGCTGATTTTAGAGTTTCATTTTATTTCAACAGTCCAGTTTTGAGTCACCCCACGTTTACCGAATACATTGGATACACAACAATTTAATTGAAGGTAGGGACCCAAAATGCATAGTCTGCGTTCAATGTGTTGGATAACTTGAAACTGGACTATTGTTCCATTTTACCCATTGACTCCTTAACCATCCAAAACCGGTCTCGAAGGAAGTTGGCCCTTGTGCCATTCGTACAATCATCTCCCAAGTTTGTCTTTGGGCGCATAGCCATTATCATACCCATAGCCAAGCATGACAGTGCAACACTTGGAAATGAAATTTTCACAAAACTGCGAGAGGTGCAATAAAATGGGCATGCTTTCTCACCATATGCTGAATAATCTGCGGCAGCAGGGGTTTCCAAGCGAGGCTGGGCACCAGGGGCAGCAGCAGGTATTCCCCCTTGTGATGCAGCTGTCATCTGACTATAGTCAGGATACCCTCCTGATGTTGCAGCCATAGATGCTGCTGACGTTGGTGCAGCACCATAACTTGGTCCATACGCTGTGAAAATCAACCGTATAGGTTAGGAACATCAAAGCAGAACAACTGTCTTCATATGATAGATCTTTGGAAATGGCTGGTTCTAAAACCATGGAAGTTACTCAGCAATTGACGCAACTGAAGCTACGTTGGGTTCATACATTCTCATAAAAATATTTTTTGAGCAAAGGTGAAGACTTCTTCTATACACTGGTAACATTTCTTTTCAAGACTCAAACAAAGTACTCTCAAACAGGAAACTGGCTACCGTGATGATTCAATTTAGCGCCCCCTTTTTAAAGAGCACCCCCTTCAAATGTGTTTTTATTTAAGTGCCTATGAAGTAAAAAATAATTGCTGCTTATTTGAAAGGCTTTTCAAAGTAAAGACGAATGGCGTTTTCCTTTTTGGAATATCTTTTTTCGTTTAAGAGATATTTACGTTTTTGTACCATGCAAATGAAGAAAGTGATGACGTAATAGGTGGTCCCACTTAAACAGTACAACATAAATATCTCTAGAAATATTAAAGCAGTGTTCTTTAAACTTGGCACCAGAAATGTACATCACAAAAGAAACAAAATGACACCCATTGTGCCGTTGCTATGACAACAGTTATGCCGCTGATCCTGTTTTAACTAAGACTAAAATTCCCAGATTTTATCTTAAACAAGGATCATCCACTCGCAGCAACCTAAGGGGGAGAGTTAAGACAATAGGGGAACCATGTGTGTTCCGAGCAAGACCCTCTATCCCACTTTAAAAGATTGCAAATAGGGATATTTGGTTTTTTTTCATAGAATGAGAGTGGACCCAAGAGTGTTGCCATGGCAACAACATAGTAGGTGTCATTCTGTTTCTTCCGTGATGTACATTTCTGGTGCCAAGTTTGAAGAACACTGCACTGGAGATATTCTCGATTCTGCATTTTACTGTTTAAGCAGAACTATTTATGATGTCATCACTTTCCGAATTTGCATAATACAAAAAACGTGAATATCTCTAAAACGACACCGTCAAAGCTATCGCCATCAAAATAGATTAAATTTCCCACCATATATTTGTTACGGTTACAGTTTCTGTTATTGTTCCTTTTTTTAAATAAAAACAATATTAAAGTTTTGTTTTGAACATTTGGTTGTTTCTCAGTAAAGAAATAGGTGCCCTGTCCCAAATAAACGCCCTCTCTTCAGGTACTAAAAGTAAATAAGCGCCTTGGGCACTAAATCGAATCATTACGTAACTGAATTTTAATAGACAGAACTTGCAACAGCTTACATAGCACCAAGACAAAGTTGGCATTTTCAGTGGAGCAGTTTACTGGCCATGCGAGACAAAGTGGTCATTCTACATCAGACACAATTTGACTGCAAACATTTAAAAAGCTTGTGAAACTTAGTAATTAGTCAGATGTCTAGCTCTTTGGGCTAATACTGATTCCCATATTATAATAAAAAGCTCTTGCACTGTTACTGTTATGAACCTTTGTTGTCTTGATTCTTACCAGCAGAGGTAGCAGGAGCAGCTTGTGCACCATACATAGCACTCTGATCAACATATCCTCCTACAATAAAAGTCAAATTATTAATTAAAGAAACTAAAAACAGTCTCTGAAACAGCCAATATTAACATTCAATAGTAACATGGAGTATAACTCCAACCTTACACCAAAATAATATTGTTTGGTCAGCTAAACCCCAGAGTTTGTATCTAATTAAATACCTTGGCTCAGTAATAACAGTATGTGGTGCTCAGGGTACTGTCTCAGTTATAATTTCATAAGGCAACCTAGATTATCACGCCCTATTTTACTATTCTGGTGTTTATTTTCGAGGGTACCTTCTGGGAAAATCTTCCTACATAAGAAAGGAAACCACAGAAAACTTGAATCTGACATGGTACAAGTATAGTATAACTCCAACCTAGACAAGGGATTGCATTCACAAAATTTGAAGGAAGTAGCTATGCTACAAAGCATCCAGTAGCGTTTTTAATTTTTCATACATTTGTACACTTGAAGTGGCGTGAACATGTAAGCCGCATACAATTTCGCAAAAAAAAACATAGACCAGTATCTTAACTTTGCTATTCATAAAACTGTCCAGAATTAGACTTAAAAGAAAACGTATTTGCCATAGAATTCCCATACAAACACTGTAATTTCTGACCACTTTGCCTACCCATCAAATTGGCCTCCAAAACTGTTAGGTCAATTCCCACATTACTGATATACTAATTTGACAATGCCATGCTTTTCCAACTTTTTTCATTAAAACGAAATATCCACCTCACTATTCGATTTATCATGCTATATTATGTAACTCTGCAGAGTTCTAACTGAATTCGTTCCAAACTCATGGAAACATGGGAGGGATCCACAAGGACGGCTAATGAATTCATTTCTTATCTTATCAAAGATAAAGATAAGTAAAACTTTCAAAAACTTTGATTAGTTGTTTCATAAATAACTCTTTCGAGTTTCATAATTCAGCTCGGTCCTGATATAAAGCCTTCAACAAGAGTTAATACACTTTTCATCATTTGGACCATTAGCCTGCGAACAGGCTCCCAGCGAGGATGGGAAAAAAAATTTGGCGAGTGCAAAACTGAAGAATTTGGAGAGCAAAATGATCGGGGCGGGGACAGGGAAGCCTGTAGACTTTGTTTTTGATGTGCCTATCCGCCCTTGGTGATAAGCCTGTAAAAAATCAGTCAATGAGTTAATTAGACCTGTCAAGAAGCTACATTTTTGGTACTTGCAAACAGTTCTAATCGAGCTAATCAAATAGCTGGGTCGGGTGTCATAATATAGAGTGCAAGTAAGCAACATGTTCACAGAATATTTCAAACTTAACTTTGTCCCTCCAGAGCTATTACTTAGAGAGCTTAAAACATATTTTGCAATACTGAAACGACCCTAAAGAAATTACAAGCACATGATAGAGGTGTCAAACTCTGCGAAGTGACAAGCAGATAACAGAAGGTCTGGAAACCATGCCTTTGACCTCTCAAAAAAATTGCTATAGCACTGCCAAACGGCTCCACTCCACTAGCTTTTACTTAAAATTCCTTCTCATAACAGAGCATAAAGTACCCTTCAGAATCACTTCAGAATCAATTTAACCAATCATATCATGATACCAGGAGCTGGCATCATAGAACGGCGGCATCAGTAGAATGTCTACAGGCTCCCTCGCTTCATTTGGGCTCACCAGGAACCTGTTCGCAGGCTACTGGACCATTAGGACCCAAATAAGTAAATCTTGCATTATCTTCACGTACGACCCACGAGCCAATGATGCATGACACATGACCACCCACCCATGTGATTTCGCTTCACCCAAGTAAACTTTGAAGCTGCTAAGGTCAGAAAAGCCAGCTGGACGTGTTAATGAGCTGACTTTGGGTTTTCTTAGCTACATCCATGTGAAAGTATATAGTAAGTTTGTCACCAGTGTTGCTATACAGATGATTCTGTCACCAGGGATACCCATATACTAATTTTGAGACAACCTACACGTTGTATATATTCTCAGCCAAGTGAAGAAGATAATTTGTATGTAGTGACTTAATGAGAAATGCTAGTAGTAAGGAGTGACCTTACCATAACCATATGCTGCTCCAACCATAGGTGCTGTCCCACCATATCCTGGAGTCATTGCACTGTAACCTCCATAACCTCTGCCCATGCCAGGCGGACCAGCAGGAGGGACACCAAACTGACCTTTTGACAACAGAATTATTTTTTTATTACTGTATAGGAAATTTGCTAATGCATAACTTTAGATACCAACCTTAAATACAACAACTGTCAAGAAATAAAAAACTTTGTTGTATCTACAGAGAGGTTGCATTAACAAAGTTGCCTTATTATGGCACACACATTAATCATGATTAATGTTACAGTAATACATAGAAGACTCCTGATTCCTTTCTTCCAGCCCTACCATAGATTTTCTGACTCAAAGTGCACCAAGTGGCCACTAATTCAACACAGTTAAAATAAGACTGATCTCAAAACATTGGCTTGTTTTTGTTGTCTTTTTTATTAAGCTTTTTATTTTAGTTTCTCTTGCTGCCCTGTATTATTCCGTCATACAACGAAGAACTTATTCAATTTCTTTTTTTCAAACTGGTTTTTACAAGTGTCTCTCCCTTTTATTTTAAGTTGTTTTCCAAATATTAGCCACTAAAGTAGAAGAGTAAGAATGGAAATTCTGTTGTATTTTATTTCATTTTGTCCTCCGGGGTCAATAATTAACTCATTAACGCATAATCAATTTTCTTGGCTTCTGTTGGGCACTTTGTCGTGTGGAAAAGAAATAAGACACAGAACTGTAATTTCTTGTTTTCTAATCTGTTTTACACAACAGGTTGTGTTTTTTTGTTGATATATGTATGTTATTTACTGGCTGGGAGGTCCACAGGCCTGGGGCAGCATTTTCAAGCCCGAGGTCACAGTTTTTCACTATATGAACCAACCCTATGCCGGCAAATAACATGTTTATTTTTTTTCCTGCAGTAAATTGGTTTTACAGATTACAAATGGGTTTGTTTACGCGACTTTGTCATTGAATCGGCTTGCGCGCCGTCTACTAACGATTTGTAAAAAACTTCACGAGCAAGTAACTCAGATGTATTAAAGAACAGATTTATTCTGACCTCCTTTATGTCATTTGCATTTATTTCACCAGTTAAGTTCTCCAAAATTTGTTTTGCAGTGTGAAATTTCGTGCAAAGTTTGAAGTTTTACCACAAAAGCAATTTCTGCCAGTTGTTTCTAATAAAATCACTTGAAATCAGACTTTTCTACTGTACATTGAATAGCAGAAAGGGAGGAATTTCGTCAAGTGTATTCCACAGAAATTCTCCTAAATACAGCAATGATCAGAGGTAAACTGGACTGAAATTGACTCAAATTTTATGGTAAGAGAACCACAGGATTACGCACCATTACAGCGCCAAGCTACAAACAACCAAACAAACTCTCACAACATCAAAACACTCAATTGAATTTACTTAGTGACTTTCCTTGCCATTTTAAAGTGAACAGAGATAAACTTGCGTTGACTAATCGTTGATGGAAGTGTAAAAAAGGCAAAAGATTGACGACTACCACTAACTTAAACGAGCAAAATTTAGGAGCCGTAATTGCTACAGCGGGGAAGAAAATCCGGCCCGTGGGCCGTATCGTAAAAAGCTGGACTGGTCACAAGCGCATGATTAGCCAATCAAATTCGAGGATTTAGGATTCCGGCCAGGTCAGATGCTTGAGAAAAAATATAACTTTTTATTATTTTGGCCCTTCAGTTATTCAACTTTAAATAAATGATGTCTTGAAACCTGATCTTGTGTCTTTGGTTACTCTGCATATGATTTACTGTTGCTCTTACGTTTGCTCTGAAACATTTATAAAAAGTGCCAGGGACGTAGAGGTGGGCCGCATGCAATTTTATGCAGGCGTCAATGGGTTAAATTAATGATAATTATTTTAAATGACTTGAGCTGAAATTTTGAGTTGACAGTTTGAATGATTCCTCAATAATGCAAAGCTTGTATTATTAGCATTGTTTGGTCTTAGAAAATGTAACACAATCAAACAAAAGTTGCCATATAATAAATCCTTACCTGGCATTTGAGGATACCCAAACTGTCCTCTGTTGTATCCACTGTTCATTTGTGCTCCACCCATGCCCATGTTGCCTCCTTGTCCCATTCTACTGGAATCACGCTGCTCTGCTTTCTTTGCCTCGGCCTGAAAGAACAACACAAGTCAAACAGCAAAATAAGTCAAGGAGTCTGTTTAAGTTGAACTTAACAAAAAGTGTTTCATCTAGTGCTTGCGTTTTTTATGTTGGCAAAACAACAAAATGACATTGTCAGTGTTGCCTTATCAACAAATAGAAATAATCAAAAAAAGTGAAAGCCAATTTCAAATTTCCAAATATGTTCTCTCAACATCAGGTACCATGAGAACAATGGGCCATCAGTCTATTATGACTGACATGCATGGCTACTGCCTTTTCTTTTTAGACCAATCAAAATAAGGGGAGCAAGGTTATCAAGATGAAGTATGCTATAGATGAAAATGTACACAACACTTTAAGACTTTATTATCAGCAAAATTCAACTCAGGATCTTAGCTAAACTGTTTTTATCCTGGTAACAACTGGGCACAAAATTGCAACCTAACATATACCGGCACATTTGTAACTGAAAATTTTACTTTGGTAGCTACAACATCCCATCATATCATTGTGACTAGTTGACACAATGAGATGAATTGGAATATACACTACAAGTATTCCTTACAATCTACTGACTTGAAATATGTTTTACCAAACAAAAGTACGAAGACCAGTAAAAATGAACTCTTCTCTTAGATTTATCACACTTTTAACTGGACTGTTCAGTAGAGGACCTGTTTGCTATTTTTTTTTTTAGATACATAAGAATATTGCTACGAGCACATCAAAGTACTTACACTACGAGAGAATTGAAAGTTTTTGTTACTTGATTGACTACAGTTACTGTTCTTTGTTTCTTACTCATAAAATATGCTTATTTTAGTAAATCTATATCTTGAGTACTGGTAATGCAAATAACCTTCATAAGTTTCATCTAGACTTTGTATGGCTATAAGTTTGAGTAAACTAGCAATCGACTATACAATGCTCAATTCTCTAACCATACCATTAAGAAATTTTAGACTGGATTTATAATCTGTACTAAGTGAGAATATATATACAATATGCAATGTTTATTTCAAAAGTAATTCATACTGAATTTTGATGATAGAAAATGTGTATTGCAGCTACGACAATAAAATACAGGCCAAAATATAGTGTACTTTTACAGTTCTTTGGCCACTTCATCATGAAAGTTCACAAAAGCAGCATAAGAGAAGGATGCTCTTAAACCGTTGAAGAACAACTAATGTATTGTTAATATCTGTTCAGTAAAAGAGCATGCATGTGCATGTATGCTTCTAAAGATATCTCTGGAAATGAAATGTGAAAAGTAGCCAAAACAACACATTCAAATTTAAATTTACAGGCTCCTAAGCCTACAACTAGTTCCTCCACATAGATGTGAACAAAAGCGACTCTGAATCTTTCAGTTACATTTGAATATGTAGGGATAAATTTGTCCAATCCAATCCGAACATATGACTAAATGACCATGTCCTGGACACCCATTTCTATCTCATCTCTGAATAACAACAGAATTTCTAATTGTAGTGAACACAATTCAGCATGATGTTCTAACACCTGCTTTCAGTGTTACATGCATAGGTGACATCTTTCGACATGCCATCCCTTGACATGCTAAGTAACCTGCCCTATGTCAAAAATGTAGGCACAGCTGACTTGTTCACGGTTGAACTTGACTGTTAGTCACGAAAGATTGATTTTATTTTCATTAAACTAACGCTAGGATTATCAAGAGGTCATTCTGTGAGAGATAAAATGACTGTTTTGAACATTTACAACTTTCAAATATTAACTGAGCAGTAACAGCCTAATTTTAGCAGTAGTCACTATTGGGAGCTGATCGACTACACTCAAATCATTTGAATTATCCCGCAAATTGAGAAACATGCAAGGTCCACAATCTTCTTCAGTCATTTGAGATCAGTAATTATCACTTATTTGTTATTTGTTCTGCTAATAACCAGAAAAACTGCCCATTTCACAGTTAAACAGGTCATCCTACCATTTACATAGCATGCTGAAAGATGTCGCCTATGTGTGTAACTCTGAAAGCAGGTGTAACCGATTATCACATGCTGAAATGTGATCAGTAAAAAAATAAATACACAGTAATTTTAGAGAAAAGTTTGCTTCCCCTTTTGGAGCAGAATGTCTTTCATTCAAAAATACACATTCATCATTGACTCCATAAATGTTTCATTCGACTGGCCAGTCACATTGAAAGAATGACTTTAACCCATTGACGCCTGTGCCACCTGTAACTGCCTGTGCAAAAACCTCCTCTATTTCCCTGTGCCGCCCGTAACTGCCCGAAAAAAGCACTAGGGGACAATTGCCTTTCCTACCCTCCCTGTAGACTTTTTGGTTCTCCTATTGTTCTATTGTTCTTGAGGACAAATAAACCAATCAGACTGGGCTTTCTGAGCATAGTTTTAGAGGACTTTAGGGGTCCTAGAAAGACAGTTTTTCTTCTTAAAATCTCGTGCTCAAAAAGTGGAGGTAATCATGGCATGTTGTGGGCCAAATCTAAAAACTTGCAAGGTCTTGTTTTCATTCCTAACATGGATAAATTACTGATTTGGGCTTAAAAATAGAAAGGAAAAGTACAAATCAATGTTTAGGTGGCCTCAGAATGGAGGATCAAGGAGTACAGAGTCCTCAAAACTTTCTGGTGAAGAAGTTTTTCTTCCTACAACCACTGTGAAAACATGAAGATCAGAGTGCTTTCAAGTAAGTTTTGACGACAGATTGCAGATTTAAAGCAGTTTTTTGAACTTAAGAAACACAAATGGTAATGTACATTATTCCTTGGAAGTTGAATTCAACTTTGGGAATGATTGGTAAAGCCATGGATGTTAAAATGACGGTGAAAGCAGTCGGCAAAAACTCAAGTCGTGTTAGCATGAAGAATAATTTGAACATGCGGTTCATGCAGCAAAGCACATCTGCGAAATTTTGAACAATTTTTTGCTTTCAAATAGGTTTCTTCGCCTCAACTTGAATGAAAATTTACTGTTATTGAACTTCCTTTTGCATTTCTTTCATTTGGTTTCCTGTATTTGGGAATTTTAGGTTTTAAAAGTGAACAGTAATTTGCATGCTGGATTTCTACATATTTAATTTATGGCGACCTCCAGGCGCTTTATTTATTTATTTTATTCACTTTGTTCAAATATTTTTTGGAGTGTTATTCAGCTACCACAAAACCGCTGCGTAAAGCACTAAATGGCCACTAATTAACACAGTTGAAATACGACTGATCTCAAAATAATTCACTTGTTTTTGTCGTCTTTTTGATTTACGACTTTCATCTTTCTTTTGCAACGTAATATTTTTGTCGCGCAGCGAAGCAATTACTCAATTTCTTGTTTTCAGATTGAGTTTTACATGAGTTCTTCGCTTTTATTTTTCGTTGTTTTGTCAAATGTTAGCCGTTATAGTACAAGAATGAAATTCTGTTGTATTTGGTTTCGTTTTTTGTCCTCCAGAGTCAATAATCAACTCATTTTTCGCAAAGTCAATTTTCTCAGCTTCCGTGGGACATTTTGTTGCGCAGTAAAGAAATAATGTAATTTCTTGATTTTTGATCAGTTTTACACGTCAGGTTGAGTTCTTTTTGTTAATATTTTTTAATATTCGACCCTTCATTTATTCAACTTTAAATAAACGATGTGTTGAAACCTGATCTTGTGTCTGTGGTTACTGCGCACATGGTTTATTTTTGTGCTTTCACTCACTCTGAAATATTCCAAAAAAACGCCAGGAAATTAGGGGTGGGTCGCGGGCAATTTCATTCAGGCATCAGTGGGTTAATGCGCCATTGTAAAAGCCCACCACAACAAAGAATCGTGGTTATATCAGTAGTAGCAGTAGTACTGGAGGAACTGTTGATGACACATGCTTCATCAACATAAATATGGATTAACTACCTTAACTAACATCAATACACAACAAATAGTATTTTAAACTGTAACTACACCGTTTTTCCATTGATGTCATGATAATGTTTACGGCAAGCCTCCTCGACAGCTTCACTTGACTCAAACGTTACAAAACCAAAGCCTACCATAATATAGTAATACGTAAAATAAAGCATACGTTAATTCCTGTAAAGATAATCGCAGCTGCAAAATAATGACAAGCACAATTTAAGAACTCAAGAATGGCAATCTCCAGGAAAAGGGGCAGTGTCAAGGTGGAGTGTTTCATTGTTGCCAGCAAGTCATAACGCTAGCTGGACAACAATTAAGCCTTGTCAACAAACTCTACCACCATTTCATGAAAAATGGATTAGATTGTTTCACAAGTACTTTCTTTGATATGCTTCATGGACAAGTCTAATCCAAGTTTGACTTTCAAATTTGCAAAGCAACAAGGATAGTGGTTAAGACAAAATAGATCATTTTATAGTTGTCTGTTCAGTGACCTGGCCTTTGAATGGCAGCAAGGGTGGAGGTGACCTTGTTTTGATACAGACCTTACTGGTTTTGTTGTGTAAATCAAGTTGTTCTAATGCTAACTGGGTGCATTTACATGAAAAAAGCATAGAGGTCTGTATCAAAACAAGGTCACCTCCAGCCTCGCTGCCATTCAAAGGCCAGGTCACTGAGCAGACAACTGTAAAATGGTCTATTGTATAAGGGTAACATAATCAGGGAATCAAATATTTCTGCCACTGAATTCCTAGGACATACTTTAAGACATTTTTAGTTTGTTGAATGGCAGTACTGAGCCATGGTTTAAGCCATTTCAGCTTTGTTTACACAAACGGTATACAGGCAATTAAATGAAAGGTTTTAGGTCTGTGGTGTCCAAACTCTTTCTTCCACCAATAGTGTATTTACTGGACTGTCTTTTCCATCCTTTGGCTTACATTTATAAGTTAGCAACAGTGTACAATGACTATAACCATGTTCATCATTACAGTTTAATGTCCCAGTAAGTATATCATGAAAATACTATCATAGTAAGTACTCAAGCTCAGTAGTGAAAGAAGCATTCAGTAGGAACAATACAAAGATATGCAAATATGAACAAATACTACTAAGCAAAAGGAGATTCTTAGCTATTAAGTAAAACAACAACACCAAAACACTGTAAATACACAAACAGAAGATAAGAGAACAAAACATAATGATTAGCATCGAAAGATCTCAGTCAATTCAAAGAAATCAATATTATAAGAATATCCTTGAGGGTGTAAAATTTAAACAACTTTATTATATTGCCCTGTAAATTTCACTTCATTTTTTTCAGTGAATCTACATTAAATTTACAGTTGTATCTCTTCTTGAGAATAGCTGATATTTGCATTCTTATAATTGAACTGAACTACATGTACTTGTGGCTTACAGTGGATGCTAACACAGCCTACAGACTAACTTCAATAAGCCAAAAATTGTTTACCTTGAATTTTGTCACCATATATTGTAACAAAAAAAAAGCCATTAGTGGATTTAAAAACTAAGCCAGACTTTAATTATTTTTTACGGAAAGAAATCTACCGCAAATGGGATTAAACTGAAGAAAAAAAAATATTCTAAAAGTACTACAATGAACAACTTGTAAGGTGCAATAACAACACTTTTTTTTTCAAACATTTAAGGATAATCTAAGTAGAATATGTAAACTTTAAGAACAAGATAAGAGGTGTAGTTCATAATTTTGGAAGTTTCACATAGGAATTGAAAAAAATTTTGATAACTCTAGAACAAACTAGGAAAAGACCACATAAAAACTATAACATAAAAATTGTAGAGAAAACATCACAGATGGGACAATAACTACATTGTAAATACTTAAGATAACTAGCACACACACAGGAAAATATGTCTCCAATGATTTTGTATTAATATATTTTATTTTAGTTATTAAACCAATTGAGTGGTAGAACAAACTTTGGGAATCGATATGTCTCACATCTCATCCTCAAGGAGCACATCCTCACTTGGGAAATTGATTGCCATTAATTTTGAGTATAATCTTGAGTTCGAGCAAAAAAGTAGATATATGAACATTTGAGAGACCATAAGACAAACAATCAACATCAACATACACTACATCACTCCAGCAGTTTCAATAGTAAAAGTGCACACCATATCTACACTACACAGAATAAGGAAGTCTATAGTTGAACTGAAACATCTTCAAAGAAATATTCAATGCTCCATTTGATCTGGTAAATTGATAAAATCAGTATGACAAGATTTTGTCCTACAAAAAAGTGTTTATCTTGTGAGACCAGCATTTAAGGTTATTTTTATTTTCTTTTAACCTTCAGAAATATTAACTATATATTAAGTAAACTAACTTTTATAAAATTAAAATAGAAAATAAAAGCTGCTGGCATTAGCCAAGGAGAAACACAAAAAACAAGCAAAGAACTATGTATTTCAAAAGTCTTTACATGCTTACCTCTCATTCTGTTGCTTTCTTTATCATACATTAGCTTCACATGAACAACCTGTTGAAACAAAACAAAGACCACCACATTATGTGTAGCAAAACCAACTTACACATCAGCCATACGCTTAGTTTGAGGGAAAAATTTAACAGAAATCAAGTCATTTTATTTCATTATTTGAGTTTAAGTGCTCACACCAAAACCAAAGTACTCATACTAAAACATCCAATTATATTTTATCAGTTTAATCAGTGAGTACACAACCCTTGCAGTGTACCTTGCCGAATGAACTGAAAAATGTGCGCAGATCTTCTTCTGTGGTGCTACTGCTGAGTCCACCTACAAATATTTTGTGGTCGTTGTTCCCTGAATCCCTCTGGAAGAATAAAAGAGAAAATGTTTGGTTTTCAATGGTGTAAATATTGCTGCTCAATACACCGAATGCAAATATGGCGGACTGCTCTGTTGGCACCCGGGACGAGTCGCATGCAAGCAAGGCTAGTCAGGCTTTGATGTTTTGTATTGACAATGCTTCCCCAAAAAAGTCTTGCTTCATCGTCTGTTGTGTTCCTGAATGCCACCAAAAGGAACTGAAATCTTCCACAGCTGGGAAAGTGCTTTTTTTTTGTTTCCGTGGTCGCCTCTCAGGGAAAACAGACAACAGAAAGTAGTTCACGATTGCCGAAGGAACTGTTAAAGTTTGTTTGTGCAGGCTGGAAGATCTTAGAAAATGTGTAAGCAACCGAATTTAGCTCCAAGTTGTTCTCATTTGGCTCAAAGCATTCACTGGATACAACGATGGGGGCAGTTGAAGTTCATTTGCTTGGTTACTACACCTTAGTATTTGTTTCATGCAATTCTGTGCAAGTGAATGTGAAGTCAACTTCTTTCTTTGAGACAGAGGATGTTGTTCAAGAGGAGCTTTTCTTCACTTTACTTTGGGGAAGGTACTGGTCATGTAGATTGTGTTGGAACACCACCAAACACCACATAAGCTCGTCATTTAAACGATTTTTCTAAGATCTTCTGATGTGAATTGTAGCGAACAAACTTTAATTCCTGCAGCGATCGTGAACTCCTTTCCTTCGTCTCAACAAATTGCATCGATCCACTATTTTCCCTAAGCTTAGGAGGTGAATGGGGAAAAATTTATTTCCCCTCTCCTGGTGTTCAGAAACAAAACAGCTCATAGCCACAGCTAAATAAAACAGACTAGATTGACAACAAAGCAAGACTTTTCTGGGGAAACATTGTCAAAACAAAACATCAAAACCTGACTAGCCTTGCTTTCATGCGACTCATCCCGGGTGCCGACCGAGTGGTCCGCCATATTTGCATTTGGTGTATAAATGTAAGTAAGAAGTCTCTTAATGCCACTTGCTGAAAATAATTTTTACTGTGTAGCAGGACACGAGCCCTTTCAAATCTCTCATTTGGTGGAAAACAGTGAATTACTAAAGTAAAACCATCCTTATTGAATTTCTTTTCCATATTTTTAACCATTATAAATGATTGTTACATTCCCATACAAACTCTTATACTTATGCTGTTTTATGCATTTGAGTGTACTGTATTAAAATGTTCATGGCTCCCAAGGAGCTTGGGAGATCTGCACCAAAAACTGGAAACATGCTGGCGGGTACGTTGCAATGGACAATCCCACCCTGGGGGAGTAGTACATGTATCTAATTGTCCTTTATGCTAAAGAACCTGGAGACATGTAAAGGCTGACTGAACCTCTAAAGTTGAAGACAGACCAACAGTTCTGTTCTACCAGGAGCGTTTTAATACTCACACTGGGTGCACCAGTAGATTGTGTGGAGAGCATAACCTGCTGCCCTGGTCCACGCGGCACAGCACGCTTAGGATCAATCTAGGAGAGGAATATCAAGCCACCTTAAGTATGTTGCTTATCAAACACAATCAATAAAGTTATAAAGTTATAAAGTTATAAAGTTATGTACAATAATGTGTCCAAAATTTGGATTAAATAGACCATGCTTCTGTTTCACTTACGACATCTTAACAAACAGAGTTATATTTAAGAAATAAAAAACATGTACCATGTTTCTATCGAGTTATAGAAACAAGAGTGGAAATTTGGGGGAATGAGAAATGTTGTGGAAACATGAGCCTACAGCTCGTGTTTCCACAGCTTTTTCGAGTTCTCCCAAACTTTCACAAGTGTTTCTATTTAACAATTAGCTAGATTATGAGCTAGAGATTCCTATGAGGTGATAGTTGATGAGGCTGAAGGCCAAACCAACTATTGTAAATGCCCTCCTTTTAGTTTTCTCAGGAATTTTGTTTATTCATTTGTTTTTATATGTTCTTTCAAAACTTTGGAGAAACGAAGAAACATTGCAATTTTGTTGACCACACCAAGCCACTGCACACCAATGGCTCAGCCAATCAGATTACAGCATTTGCATTAGTATACTAGTAGAATTCTACTAAAACTAGAGAGAAACACGGAGAACATGTTTTGTATTTCTTTTAGAAAACACTGTGACATAAAAAAAAGGAAAACAACTTGTTAACTTTGACTATCAAAATGTAAATTCTCTTTGCTCACGCCACCATTACGTCAACAGCTCGTGCTAGTTCTGTGCCTCTACTGAGTTATAGAAACACAATTTTTAACCAATTAGCATGCATATTTTCTTAGGACTGTTTTCTAAATAAGATTAACATGCCACTTCCAAGAGTACCAGCAGATCCAGTGTCATTTGCTAAACGTACAGTCCAAAACATGGGAATTCTAATCAAATTATCATTCGTACATTTATGTCGACTGAAACAAAGTTGCAAAATAACTTGCACATTTGCAATCTCGCTTTCCCTTGTAATCATACATAAAACCATTCTTGCCATTCAATCAAACAACTTACAAGAAAACAGGTGTTACCTTTTTGCTGTCCAGTATGTGATCACTCTTTTGACACACATTGTCTACTGAAGAAGGATCTTGAAATGTTACAAATCCAAAACCCCTGCGAAACATAAGCAACCATAAGCAAAAGGAATCTAATTCTACACCAGCAATATTGAAGGTAATCAATTTAACAAATAGATTCCATCTTGCCATCCGTCTCTTCAGTATTTGATCACAGATGAATGACATCAAAAAGTGATAAGAACAAAAAAGTGACACACGAGTGTGTCACTGATGTTCTTACTACATTTTGACGTTTTGTGTGATCTATTACTGAACAGACACACTGAAATTTACTATTACTGTAACTGTTAGACGCACAACAACATGGAATCCATTTGTTTTATATAATAAAGAAACACAAAAACTGTCCATGACATCATCTAATGCATCTGACCTCCTGCAGATCATAAGTAAGAATTTAGGCTTCAGCTTATATAAAGTGCGACAGATCTTTCACAGTACCATTACCTTGAGCGCTTAGAAACACTGTCGACCATGACAATGCAGTCAGTGACCTCACCGAACGTTTTAAAATACTCCTGTAAGCCTTCTGTAATCAAAAGGACAAGATACAAGTGAGTTTCAAGCAACAGGAATCCAAAGCACGTGCTACAGCTCACCTTACAGTCGTTCAAGAATCAGGCAGGATTTAACCGAAAATATCTCTCTACACAATTAGGTTTATAGTTATAAGCTCACTTTTACCTTTGGTTGTCTCTGTGGATAATCCCCCAACAAAGATCTTCCTAAAGTGGACAAGCAGAGCAATAGATTACAAGTCAAATGCATTCGTTCATCGAAATTCTCTGAATATGAAATGAGTATGAAGTGAAGTGAAGTGAGTATGAAATGGTCGGTATTCCGAGCAAAGTTCTACATGAAACGCAGACTGCACTACACCAAACCAAAGAGTAAGTTTCTTACCCAATGTCATCTCCTCGGCTTGTTCCTCGAACCATTTTGCCGTTCATTCGTTTAGCAGAACTCCTGAGCGCAAATGATTTCTCCTCGAACAGGCCACTGACGCTGAAGATATGAAAAGTCCCGGATTTTCTTTGACAAACCACGTGGTGCCTTGAAATCCCGCGAGGATTCGGGCTTTACCCGCGTGACTGCCCGCGTGGGTATCACTCAACCATCGGCGCTATACCATCTGAGCTAAAAAAGTGAGCAGTTGTGCATTTGTGGGTCATTTGTCTGTTACGAGGAGTTTTGGCTGATAGAGGACACGAAAGAGAGAACGCGTCCAATTGTTGTCTTCCTCATTAATTACCTTCAGAACCGGCTTCAGACCAAGGGAGAGAAAGTCAAAACGGCAATCAAAATAAAAACTAAATAAAACTAAGCGAAGAAATGTCTCAGCTTGCGTCGCTGGCAGCTTCAAGTTCGGATTTCGTTGGCGCTAGAGACATTTTCAATACTCCAGAAATAGAATTTTGCATAATGTTCGATCAGCTTTCAGGAATACGTAACAAGCGCTATGTGATAACAGGTCGCTTAACACGTAGGTCTGCATGCAGGATATATAACAACCAGCTCACATTACAAAGACGGAAACTGCACCATGGATCTCTGTTGCTCACGGAAAGAGATACGTGATCTAAAGGAAAGTTGCATGACACGTCTTTAGCATTCATGAATATTGTTCAGCTCAAACAGGGTCAAGTCCGTGACCCGTGGAGAATAAAAAAGTTGATCTCAATTGTCTGGACCAATAAACAGAGGAGAAGGAAACACGAATTTACACGTTGATATAATACTCTACCCTAACAAGATTGCAACTACTCATAATATGAAGACGAAATACGGGCGGGAAGAAAAGATTCATTGACGCAAGAGAATTTGAGCGGTTTCAAAAATCAGCTGATTGCAATGAGTGAGTACAGTCGGATGAATCCGGCAGATGTATGATACTATTTAATTAATTCACTTCTAATTGATTAGTGAACTGAAACATCATGTAGAGTGTGCCACAACAGTCACTGTGTTACGCTAGTGACAGTTCTTTGTTCTTCTAGGTCTCGTTGTTTTGATTCTGGCTGTTTGCGGTGGGATCGTTTCTGCGAGTATCGCAATATTTGTGTGCGTTTTCGCGTTCCGCAACAGGGGCCAGAAGGCTGCAAGGACTAAGAAGAATAGCAGCTCCAAAGCGAAGCACGAATTGGAACCAATTCTGCCACCGGATAGAATAAGTTCAGAGTCGGAGGGAGACACAAACAAGGGAAATGTGTCTCCTTGCCCATCTTGTAGGAAGATCTCAACATTTTACAGTCCATGCGAGTGTGACATGATTTCCGCTCAAAACTTAGAGGCGAAACCATGTCAGGTGCAGTTTTCACTTTATTATAACTTTCACGATTCTCATTTATTTATTAACATTATCTGCGCGCTGAACGTTCCGCTACGATGGTATGGAAAACACCCGCCGACACAAGTGCGATTTCAACTTCTTCCAGACGATTCCAACGTTTACCGCACGGAAATCAAAAGCAATACAGGCGAGCCAATTTTTAACGAGACATTCGAGTTTATTGGATATTCAGAAAACGAGCTAATGGAGTTGACTCTTCGCCTGGGACTGTACGCGTTTGATAAGTTCAGCAGAGGAAAAATGATAGGCTTCACAGATTTGCGTTTTGATTTGGAGAAATTTCATCCTAGCGAGCCAACCATAATATGGAGAAACTTATTACCTAAATCCCAGGTATGATATTTCCCATACTTTCCTAGAAGGTTTAAATTTCTGTAATAAGAACTAAGAAGGAAGGCTTAAACAAGGTTGTGACCCAGCTTGGAGTAGCATAAAATGTCGGCTATCGTCGGTAATTTGCAGTAAAGCTAAGTGCACCTTGCCTCCATGATTTTGAGATTTCGTCGGAGCACAAAAAATCGAGGATTTAATCGAATTCAAAACTCACAGGAGTATTTCAAATTACAAGTAGGTTTGTTTTAGCGGAAAAAAAATTGGAGGTTAGGTGCACTTTAATATATAGATTCATAGAATTAACTTTACCAGTCAAGTATATTACGAACACTATTTACGAAAACAATGCGGTTTAAGTACCCGTAAAAGTTCTTTGGTTCTACTTCCTTAATCATTGAACTGCAACATTAGAAGCGCATTGGTCAATGTATCAGCGAGTTTCAAATTACTATACGAATTTGCAACATCAGGCTCAAGGGTTAAGGTAAAGGAAACAGTTCATCACACGGGGAATCTTAAGAATTCTGATAACGTATTTTAAGCGACATAGCTGGTTTGCGAAAGTTAAGATGTCGAAGATCGCTGTATACAACTGGTCAGTCACCCCTCTGGTTTTGAATTATCCTTTGCTTCTGAACCGAATAACTGGGACATCATGTTTCTCTAGAAGATATCAAAAAAACGGTGAGCAGCAAAGCTAAGGGAATGAAGAAAAGAATTGGTAATATTGCCTCAACAAAATTCTTAGATCTAAAATCGAGAGAAATGTCAAAAACAAGAAGCAAATATAAGGAAAATATCAGCTGCTAGGTGTTTGAGGGTTGATCCTAACCAGTATTTACCGTATTTATCAGCTCAGGCGGCTTACTGGACTCTCTAATGTCTCGGTGTTGATGCTGACAGCCTTCCAGTCATGTTTTCAGCTGCGCATCTGTCAGTGAACTTAGTTCTTAGCGGAGATTTAGAATTGCGCATGCCAATGGTAACATTCACTTGACCTCTCCTTAGACACGTTGAAACAATCTGCATGGAAGAAAAAAAACGTTTAAGGGTGACAAACTCAAAGCCTATTCTTTCAAAATCATTTCACGGTGAAAAATTTTGCAAGGATAAACAAGCCTGGGGCAAATATCTTGTGTATATGACTGGCGCCACTGAACGTTATCAACCTCGATACAATATTGAAACTTTAAATAGCAGGTAACTGATATCTAACGCTGAGACGATTCGGCTATTAGTGACTTCTTTTAGGATTAATATTTTAAAGGATTTGAGCAAACAATTGTATCAAACACTTAGCCATGTCGTTGTTCTAATTTGCAAATAATTCAACCTGCTGAGATAAAAAGAGCGCCAATGGTTAAAATATAGCCCATAAAAATGTTTTGCTGTAACATTTTTCCGCAGAACACGGTCGATTTTCAAATCAGTCTATCGTGACTATCTTGCGAATTGGTTAATACGTAGTTAACCTTGGTAAACAAATCTGAGGTTGAGTGTAGTCTGAACAGCTGGAAGCATTTCGCGGGAGAGCTTTAATTTGTTTCAGGGGCGGGGACGAATTTCTGTCAAATGCAGGCTGCGAAATACAAATCTTTCTTTGGGAAGGACTGTAGTAGTTGGGGAGAACTTGAGAAAATAAAAAAGGAGGAAAACTGAGACAGAAACAAAAAAAATTAGCAATGCCCAAGTAAAAAGTTGTAAAATACATTAAGATAAATTTGAAGAACGACTGTTAACAAATATCGAGCTTATCCTGCAATTTTGTTGAGAAAATACAAGTCTGCCTCTATGCAACTAAATATGTTGTGCATTGCTGTTATTGTGTGTTATGTTATGTTATGTTACGTTACGTTATGTTATGTTATTTTATTTTATGTTATCGGTGGTTGTGTTATGTTACGTTACGTTATGTTGTGTTACAATTGCCGTACGTATATGTTCCATTTCCAGCTAAATTGGAATCGAGTTTCGTTAGCCCGATCGATCGCGGTAAGGATATAGCTGAGGACATTGAATTTTCCATTCGGTCATGCCTAATTCACAAAGTAAACTGCAAATTAACCGATTGTTTCTCATCTCTCAAAGAGAAGAGGTGAAATGTTTTAGAATCGTTAGTCACATTTGGCTGGGAGACCTAGTGATCAGTGTTTTAACGTTCCTTCAAACCGTGGTTCTCAGCTTGAAGAAAACACAATTCTTAGCCTGAACAAGAATGTCAGACAAATGCTAATATATGTAACTTCTCGTGCTTCAATAACTTCGCACTAGAATTTGGTGTGATCATATTTAGTGTGAAAACTAGTTGAGTTTCTGTATTAGACTGATTTATATTTAGGTAATTCATCTTTTCATTTGACTTCAGACAAGAGGACGTTCTCTTAGCTTTTCAAGAGGAGAAATCCACATTTCACTCCGCTATGAAGCAAAAAGACAAAGACTGAACGTTATTATCTTGAAAGCTACGAATCTAATGAAGACCAGCAAGTTTCTTAATATTGGTAAGTCAAACAAAATACTCCATCTGAAAACTTACTAAGTACCCTGGCCAAGTTGAAGATATTACGCAATTTGTTGAAGCGAGAACAATTAAAATTGCGCTTTAGCTCTTAAGGGATGTGTAAGTGTAAGTAAGTAAGCATTTTATTTACCGAAGGTAGCACCTAATAGTGTACAACACTGATAAACTTGTGGTCATCAATCTAAAGTGCTTGCTATTGGTAGTGCAACAGAAGTTTTCAATTTGAAGTCACAACCTTGAGCATGCGCAACTCATTGTAAAACTCCTTTAACAGTTTCATTGCATTTATACTATAATCATAACGGTAATGCATTTGTGCTGTTATGTTAACAGAAGTGGATCATTATTTTAAGGTTTCTTTCACTAATATTATGTTTGGGTATTTAACTTTTCGAAGTCTTGCTCATCATAGTACACGAAGTCAGATCATCCGTTGCACTGATTGATCAGACTGCTACACACTTAATTGTTTGACGTCATAATGGCATTTTTGTTTTTTTACAGCACCGTACGTCTGTGTGAACCTGAATGCAAATGAAGCACTACTGGAAACCAGGCAAACCAAGAAAACTCGAGGGGTGAATCCTGTGTGGAATCAGGGTTTCTTGTTTGATGTGGACGGTGACACCGTTGATGAATACTCGATCACGATCAGGATCATGAACCACGACCTTCTCACTTCGGACGAGGTCATCGGTGAAATAACAATTGGATCTCAGTGCGAGGGGAGTGGAAAGGAGCACTGGGACGAGACAATGAGGAAACGATATACGAGAAGAGAGGTGGCAATGACACACATTCTGTCGTGAGCAAACGGACAGTCCTAAAATAACAATGGATTGTCAAACAGTCAACGGCTTAGATGTCCTGTAGTCATCCAGTAACATTAGAAAAGCCACGCAGGCTTTCGGTGGGATTTCTCTTTGTCGCATTATTGGAGATTACTAATATGGCATATCCACAACGGTCAAACAGCGGGCACTGCGTACGCGTAGTTTCCGCCGGCAAAATGCCACTCAGCGTCTCAAATCTCCCATATTCTCCAGTTTCAACTCAAATGCTAAGCTGTGTAAGCTGCAAATTCATACAGAATAGAATGAATGTCATCGACTTAACTTAAGGGCTCGTAATTTGATTTACTACTGCTCGTTTTGTAACGTTTTCTTACAACAGTCGTGTAAATTTTCGCTTCAAATTCTCACAAACTTGGAGGACTCGAAAACAGGAGGTGGTGTTGAATTTTCGCGTTTGACCGTTGTGTTCATATGCGGCCGCATACATGTCATCAATGTACCAACTGTGCACCAGTAATAAAGGATATGTGGCTGATATATTGACGTATTGAACTAAAAAAGTTAAACTCTAGAGTAGCAAAAAATCTTGAAACATTGTAACTACAGAAATAAATGTTTAATAATATGTATATAACAATATACGTCTTTACAATTATTTACAAGGATTATATTACAAGTTTTGTACGTAATGAAAATAAATAAATTCAGTACATAAATATCAAAACACACTTTTATATTCAATATTCCAAAATAGATGTATTCTTATTTAAAAATACAAGTGCCGATAACAACACGTGTAAGAGGAAAGATCTTACTGAACTATCAGTAACGTCTCCTTTGCGGTCATTAACGTTACAAGAAACGCTATGTGACAAATAATATAACGGCTATTATTTGAAAGTCCAGGAAAATATTATCTTAGGGTAATACGACCTGTTATTTATTAACGCGCACAGTTCACTGTGCGCGCTGTTAAGCCACCCGCTGTCAATGGAAAAAATTGGAACTCTTCCAGAACTTCTACGAGGATTTGCCGAAAACGACATTTGTTCAGATTTTGCACACGCCGCTCAGGAATATGACACACGCGGGCTTTGGAAAGACTGGGCTTGACGTGAAACAAACTGAACTAACACACATACTTTGACCGCGTAAGAGACCTCGTTGTTATTCCAGTAAAATGTACGCTTTCTTTAATGCTGCCAGTTCAAGGTGACTTCTTCACCTTTTGAGATACCTTACATAAAGCCCATTACAATCACTACAATTATACGACATATTTCTGCCTTCGTTCTGTCATAGTGTGTTTCACAAATCTTAAGGTATCCTTCATTGCTGGGAGAGGCTGAAAAACAGAAGGATCTTTTAATGAGAATGCTTGCGTTTACAAGGCCGCCTTGGAAGTGACGTCCTGTGAACCCTCCTTCATGGTTCGTCCCTGCGCAACCACCGCCGTAGTGCGTCACGAGTGCTAAACCCTGTGAAAGTCCCTAGCGAAACATCCACTTGGACATCGAAAACGCATGTGCAGTCGGACCCCTTAAACGTTCCTTTTTTTATATAAGACAAGCTTATTTTACCCTCATGCCTCGCTTTTGAAGTAGAAACTGAATTCCCATGAATAGCACTAAAGTAGAAAGGAATATGGACATGAAAAGAAAGTGAAGGTGCCAACCGTTTGAAAGAAATTTAGTGTAAGCTAGGCTTAATGGAGAATTTCTAGTTGCTGAAGCAGACGTGCATAAGAACTATTCTAGAATTTTATTTGAAAGTTGCGAGATCAAACAGAATGTACCATGACTGGTCCCACAGGAAATAACGAGCTTTGTTTTTCCCCGTTTCCGCCTCGGGAACAATAGGGTTATTGGGAAAACAGTCTTTGGTACCAATCATTAATTCCTTAACAAGGGAATCTCTAACGAGAGCAATTATCGGGTCTACTGGCTGTAACTTGTAAGGGGGAAAGATAAGTCATGAGACAATTTGGTAAGATAGTTTTGCATTGACCAAAACAAGCAGATGAAGATACAAGTGTGCTACAATCTGAGCGCACTAACCTATTGGGCATCTCTTGGATAGAAGGTGACATCATACCAACACTCTTGCTCCTGAAAACGAAAGTGTTCGCCACACCATAAATACTCAAATTAGCGCTTTGCCTCATTTTATGAGTATCAATTAGCTTTCACTTGGTATTAGTTACATCGCATCAAGAGTTACATTCATTTGAAAACTCTGCCCCACGTTACTTCGTATCCTAATAGTGCCAAACTACATATGCTGATCAGACAAATGTTCTAAAGTTCATTATCGAAAAAACTTAAAAACAAAAACAGACAAACAAATAAATCACGACTCAATAGCTTTCACTTATATGGCCAGACAGTGTTTCGTCCACAAACTCGTAATACACAATGCAAGGTTTCGATTACTTGTTGTTCGACTACTTCGATTACTTGTTATAAAATAGGATGACCCACCTCCCCCCCATGAGCAGCTGAAAATTGAACGACCCCACTCCTTACCAAGGACTCAAAAACTGATGACCAACTTCCTCTCTACTCCTGCCCATCCCCCAATACTTTTTGACCAGTCCCTGACATAAACTTTTCATTTCTCCAAGCTTACTCTAGTGTTATGTACGTATCACGTTTTTTATTCTTCCTTGACAAGTTACCTCATTCGCAAAGACGTTTTGTTTTCTCTTCTCCTTGGACTCAAAGCCGAATCAACCTGTACAGCTTTTCTAGGAGAGAATTAAAAAATGTTAATGTAAATTGCGCACAAACCCAGTGAAGGACACGAGCAAAGCGATAGTGATGATGACGGTGTAATGAGTATATGTGCGGGTACCTTTCAATTACGGTGCGATGGACAATTGTGATTCACGTACATAACGTCTACAGTGCACTGGTTGTGACGTACAGTGGTGTTAAGTTACCGTGCATGGCTTTTATTCAAGCTGACGAGGTCTACGATAGATGGAGACATATCAACAGATAACGTATTCAATAAATTAGATGCATACTCACATAGAGCCGTTTTCAATTGAGTGTCATAAAACCAAAACCAAAGTAATAACTCTTGCCAATCACAAAGCACACAGACAGTGAACCAACCAAAAATACATGTAGATGACGCCAAGCGCGGGAAACTCTAGCCAATCACAGAGGACACAGACAGTGAACCAATCAGAAATACAAGTAGCTGACGCCAAGCGTGGGAAACTCTAGCCAATCATAGAGGACACAGACAGTGAACCAATCAAAAATGCAAGTAGCTGACGCCAAGCGCGGGAAAACGTGTGTGAACAAAATGAGATTGATTTTGGTTTTACTTCCGATTGGATGAAAAAGTGGCGCGAGTACGATCGTAAAGCGTAGTGATACAAAAGCAATTACTCCTCGATACTCAAATGAAAACTACTCTATTCTCATTCGCAAATGCGATACTAAAGGAGACACAAGGTGACTGTAACATGACGTCCTGGCCCAATGGTGAAGACACAAGAAAATTAATTTGTCAGTCTTTTTTCTCGATGATCAACGTGTAACAAGGTAGGATCTTCACTCACTCTTCAGCTGCTGTCCTCATTCTACACAGCTCTTCCACCTGGTTACGAAGTTCATCTCGTTCACATTCCAGATTTTTACTGCAAACAAGACATTTGAAAGACAAAAACACAAACTTAATCACGCGTTACGATTTGCAACAGGCACTAATATTAGTCGACTGGACTAATATTATAACTAGGGTATCTAAAAGATAGTAATGCTGCGGCACATTCTGTTGATAGTGACATATTTAACGCCGTGATTCATCTATCTGCGCGTTTCAAGACTTGAATTAACTGTTATTTCTCAAAGTAGTGTCAAATCGTGGTGTCACTTAAAATCTGTCCTTGTATGCATCAACTTCATGCATGATGATGCATCGATGGCGAGGTGTGACAAAGGATCGAGACAAAAAAGAACATTGTGATCTGAAGTATGTTTGGACATAAAACGAAACACATCAGCCTCCCCTTTACCAGATCGCGAAAATCGAAAGATGTGGAAATTGTAGGAGCAGAAATCTAACTTATAAATTCTGTACTGGTACGCATTAAATATCTCTAGAACTTGACAGACTGTTTCGAGAACGTGTTCATCGTGAACATGTTCATTTAAGAGCTTTAGCTTAAATTCATGTTTCGATGAAAAGGAATAGATTGCAGCATTTATGAAATCAGCGTGTTCCTCGGTTTTTGGTTGTTTTAATTATTCTACAGGCTTTAGTAACGACGATTTCTCTTCATTTAAGAATTCGGCAAAGGAGGCGAGACTGCTAAGAAATGACATACTAAGATTAAGATGTCACAATTAATCGTCCAGATTTACAAACTTTCACATACTGCATAGCAAGAGTTGT